AGCTTATTTTTCTATGTGACCTGTAGAGCTTGATGAACGTCGGCCTGAGATGAATTTTTAAAACTGTCTTGATTTCTACAAACAAAAAGACTCGATGAGGAGTCCAAAGAAGCAAATCCATTAACCCTTGCTTAAATGTAACACTACTGTCCACTTAGCTAAATATAAATCTGTAATAGTGTGCACTACAGTTTCAAGCACACGTGTTTTTGTTCAAACTAAATAACTTGTTATGACATGCTATGTATGTAGGATGTCATCATGACAGGGGTGGGAAGATCTCACATTTTTGGAAAATGACACCAGATAATACTCTATAAAACCAAATGCAATGGTTTTTTTTTTAAATGTTTATCCATATAGTTGACTTCCGAAGGCTTTAAAAACACTCAATTGCATCCCCAAAATGTTATAGCCTACAATAAGCATGCAAACTGATTACAGCAGATGAAGTAGGACTTGATAATGGAAAAAAAATGGGTCCTTTACACTAAATTTAAGCCAAGTAACAAAATACAGCACCATAGGTAGATAAACAATAGTGTGAATGGAGCATTATAATTTGTCTCTACGCCCGTGTTCAGTTTCAAATTTCTGACTATGGGACAAATTGATTTTTGAAAGGTTCATTTTCCTTAATACTTTATAAACCAATGAAACATGTCTGACAATTTGGCAAGATGTGTTTATTTTTTGGAATCAGCTACTTAGGCCTGGATAATATCAAAATCATTTCGAAAATTTTCCAAGGTCTGGTTTTAATAAAAACTCTGCTCCCATTTGGTCTTTTCCTGGCAATCAGGAGGCCGAAATTCCAATACAAGATTATATGTATGTCCAATTTTTAACTCAGTTTGTCATTTAAGTAAATGGGTTGAACAGATGCATGAAATCTATGCTGTAATACCTGACATCCCAAATCCCTCTACTTCTTTTTCTTTAGGTGACAGGTGAAAAATGAAGTATTACCCTAAAGAGCTGCAGGGATCTTTTTCTGATACCGCCTAAAATCAGTTTTGGTCGTGCACAGCCACTTTGTTTACACATTCTGTCATGTCTGGACAGTACTGCGCTTTGGCTCCTGCTCCGACACGGGTGACAGGACCTGGAAGCAACAACAAACACACACTCGCACTTTACCTTCAGCAGGCAGAGACAAGCTCAAAACACAGAGGTGAAACGTGAGTAAACGTTTCTGCACAGGTAAGAACAGCAGGTACGGGCTGATGATCAGCTGAGGCAACTCAGACAAGATGAAGGCCTGCAGATTGTTTTGGGGATTTACCATTATTGTTCATTCGTGCTTTAACCTTTTTGTAACAGGCAAACAACAATAAATGTAAGATGAAACTGTTGCTTTTGTAGAGGTTTACAAGAATAATATAACAGTATATTTTGTCTCTTAAATTATTTTGAGTTTATGTTTAATTAATGTAAACAAATAAATCCCACAGTCAAGACGAACACATTTATATGCAGAATTTATTCATTGGAAATGCAGATGAGAGACAGACTTATATGGAAGTGGGCACATGTTTTAAAATATCACACCTTATTTGTAAGACCCAATAATTGCATTATTGCACACATTTTAAATTTTGCATCAATTTAGATCAGATTTTGTGCTTTAAAAAATAATTAATATAATATTAACCTTAGCTAGTTGCTTTGATGATGTCTGCAAATGCAAATCCAACAGAGTAAAGTTCTTTTACAATTTCTTACATCCATTTGCTTTGCTTTCACTTTCACTGGGTCAATATTTTTCCACAACTGGCTGGATGAAAGATCTTCGCCAGAGGCTGAGAAAAAAAAATCACTCCCTGCCTGTGTGTATAAATTAAGGGTGACAAAAATATCCTCCATTCATTTTGGCCTGGAATGTGAAATTTGGATTTTCGCATTTTTTTAAAGGGAAACGGGAATCAGACTTTTAGAAAGCTACAGATCCTTCTAAACCAATAAATACCATTCTAATCTTTCAAATGTAATTTAATGGCCACACTTGTGAATGTGTTATGACGTTTCATTGTGCTGTCTCTGTAAGGATGAAAAGTCAAAAATAGAAAAACAAATTTGCACATTATATTGAGGTAAAAGGAAATGTACGTGTTATATTATTTTTACGATACAGAATCAGAAAACAAATGTGGCTCTGATATTTTAGGAAAATTCAGCTGTATTCCTAAGTTCAATCTGTTATGCTCTCTCTGCCTTTTCTCAACAGAGTAGCTTCATCCCGTGTATTCTTGTTTCACTGTGACACCATCCTGTAGGGAAATATCGGTTGTGCTGCTGCCATCAACACCTTTGTTTATGGGTGTTGGAGATTGGCCTGTTTTTCAGTATAGTCCTGTTTCTCTGACTGCACATGCTCTCTTTCATCCTCTGACATGGGAGCTGGCTTGGAGCTCGTCTGCCTGGCTGTGTTTTCTGGGCCGGGCTGCCTGTGGAGCTGGTTGACAGTTGTCTTTTTTTGCTCTGCTTCTGTCTCCTTGAACCCCAGTCGGCCTCGGCCGATGGCCGCTCACACTGAGCCTGGTTCTGCTGGAGGTTTTTTCCTCTCCACTGTCGCTACAAGCATGCTTGGTGTGAGGGATTCCTTTTTAAGCCAATGAGTCGATGCAATCAGCTGGTTTTCCTTGGATAGAAAACTTTGAACCAATCTGACTGTATGATCTGGGTCAGTTGTCTCTGTAAAGTGCATTGAGATGATATGTGTTGTGAATTGGCACTATATAAATAAATTTAAATGAATTGAGTCACGTTTTCCTGTAGTTACAATTATAAATTTTTCATGAGGATGAACCTAAACCTCTTGTCACAAGTCTTGTGCAGCCTGAAATGGGTTTTCTGTGGTTTAAGCTCCATTTAACATCTCATAAACTCTGGCAAGCCCCCTGTCCATGCTGAAGAAAAAGAATCACATTTAAAATTATTGCAATTATAAATTACAACAAACTTTCCCTCTGCATTTTACCCATCTGCTAAGGATAGTAAGTTCGCTTCATGTTCACTTTTGATTTAAAATAACAGGAAAGAAAAAATAAATCTAGGAAAACATCCCTGCAGCATTACGTGACACATCCGTGTTTCATGGTGGCTATGGTTTGTTAAGAATAATCTCCATGTAACATGTATCTCTCATCTATCTCACCTGGCCAGAGCTCTGTCTTCCACATGTTTTAGCTCTTCCTCATGACTCTTGCTGCATTTTTTTTAGTATTATTCTTATGCTCTAAATCTGGTTGTAAAAGTTGAAGTGGAATACTTTTCTAACTTATTTGATTCTTATCTGATACTGATTTATTCTGGAAGCATGATATCTGAAAAAGTATTTTTTTCAGCTTTTTATTTGTTTTTTTGTATTTCAAATCAAAAGGGCACATGAGAAGAAACTAATTATTACTAATGTGTCTCACTGTCAGAAAGTTTAGCTTAGAGGCAGGTACTCAATCAAGCAGCGCTTTAGTCTGATGACAAGCTGCATGTCAGAACCAAGCTCAAACTGAAACACCCTCTATCCAACTTGCTTTTCATAAAGTATACTGTTATTATATATATATATATATATATATATATATATATATATATATATATATATATATATATATATATATATATATATATATAAATGCAGAGGTTAAATATGTCTTTTTAAAGGTGTTGGTAGTCTAACTTATTATGTAGGACCTCTTTTCTGCTACTTCCACTGATTTGCTCTCTCTAAAAAATGTATTCAGTCCCTCCTCTGCAGGGCCATGACACTGGTGTAAGGCTTTGTCTATTAATTGACCTCATTCACGCGTTTTATGTCATATGCATTGCCAAAAGCAAAGTGATAAACACTTTAATAGCTATGCTTATCCCTTGTGAAGAGCTGAAATATCTTTGCAAGACAAAAGCTACACAAATTAATGAAAATCCATGTGTTTGCTGCCATCTAGAGGATATTAGCGGACAATACATGAGTCACAAAAAAAGTTCTACAGCTCTGTTTTGCTGATTTATAAGGGAAAATGTATGACATTAAACATAGAATGCCGTCTGCATACATTGCTTTGTATTTTATTGGTGTTAATTACTTTTTGCACTTAAGACAGAATTCATGTGATTTGGATATGGATAGAGAAAAATTCCAACACAGACCTGCTGAATGTGTTTACATAAGGATACTAGATGAAATTCATTTTGTGGGTAGGACAATATTAGACAAAAAAAAAAAAAAATCTGCTTTTTAAAAGAAAAAAAATTTATGTTCTCAAAGAAACCCCCTGAAGCCTTTACAGGACAGCTGCATTTATACTGATTTTACAACACAATTGGACTGTTTATAATCGCCAATCAGAGGCTAGTGGTTTATGAAAATAATGGCAATTGATTTATTAAGGGGCATCAGAGTACAAAAAGGCTGGCAGTAATATAAACAATAATCAGATTTCTTATCGTTACGGCCTCAGGATCTATATACAGACATAAACTGCATTTCTGTAAAGCTACACCTTTTTTTTTTAGCTGTCAAAATGTGTTTGGGTGCTGTGATGGTGCAGATCACATGACCCAATTCTGGAGACCTTAGTCCTCAATGCAGCATCAAGGTTACGTTGCTGCATATCTTCCTATTCTATGTCCTATTTCCTTTCTACCTACTTCCACAAATAAAAATAAAGGTCACTAAAAGTGTATGGTCAATTGTTCCAGGGTGCAAGTAAAATAATACTTAAGCCAAACTAATCTATTTTTTTTAAATAAATTGTCTGTTTATTCTTACATTTTTAAAATAAAACAATAAAAAAAGCTGGAGTTTTCACTACATTGTTTTACATAGATAATACAGTTCATAAAGGACTTATATATTTGATTATAGCCATTAAACACTGTTAGAAATCTCCATTAATTCTCCATTACTCCACTTACCTTAACATTAGAAATAACTAAAAATTTTACAAATAAATGTATACAATGTTAGAAGTCATATGTGAAAGATTTTTTTTTTTTTTATAACAGCACAAAGGATAAACGTCAACATTTTAACATTTAAAGTTCATGTTTGTCAACCTCAACTCATTATCATGCTTTTTAATACAACATCACCGAACAAAACAGTTTAAAAAAAAAGAAATAGAACAGCTTTAACTTTTGATTTCAAACCTCACACTTCATGATCTCTCGGAGGCAAATAGTGGCATAGCAAGAGGAATCCAGGTCAAAGTTCAAGCTGAGTATTAGAGACTCCATGGCTGATTCTTGATTTGTTGCGCCACGGCTGCAGGCTGCTCTCTGTAGCTGGTAGCTTAGGTTGTGTGGGATGGCCAGCAGGGGGCGGTAGCAGCCAGGAAGGTTCAGTTTAAGGCTGCTCACTCTGAAGCGGCATTCTGCCAACCCGTCTCCTGCCAGTCTCTCCTGGTACCAGGTTCTCATAGCGTTTTCTGGATATTTAACAGAGTTTCCTGGCATTGGTAATAACACCTGAGAGGATGACAAAATATTATTGATTCAACAAAAAAAAAAGCTTAATATAGCATACTGTATGACCAGCAGAATAAGAGAACCCCATACTTGTTCTAGTGAATATACTCCTGCTTGCTCCTCCTCATGTGTCACCACATGGACCTGAAAAGGTAAAAGGAATAAGAAAACTACTTAATGAGCCCTTTTTATCGTTTAAGTTACAACCATAAACCAAAATTTAAATCTACCAAACCACTTTTCTTCATAAAGCACTTCATAATAAGAAAAGTCATCAAAGGGCTATACATACAAGGGAAAATAAAATCTGTTAAGAGATAAAAAAACACATAAGAACGGCTTTCATCTTAAATCCTAGATTTGTTGTAACTGACCCAAAGTGCCCCAGAGAACAAAGATCTATGTTGAAGATGTCGAATGTACTGACAAAAATCATCCCTTCTCCTTTTCGCTCAATCGAATAAAAAGGGTTGAAGCCATCCGAGCCTTTATATCATCAACATTTGAACAATTAATCTAATGAGAGGCTCTGGGCTGTTTCAAGAGGGAGATAAACCTGGGAGTCATCTGCAAAAGGGTGGAAGGAAACCATGTTTCCTAAAAATAAAGTTTAAATCTAGGTAAAAACAGGTTAAAAATTACAGTGCATAAAAAAACTACTTGGCAGTTTAAAGTTCAAACCTAAAAAGTATAAGTCATACCTTCTACTTTTTGTGAATGAACAAAACTAAATTAAGACAAAACAAGAAATTCGAGAAAGTCTCTAAATGATTCAACTATCTGAGAATATTTCATTCATAAAAGTACAATTTGGAAGGAAGTTTTCAGAATTTTGAATTCCAAATATTGCCTGCGTTTGGGTAAAATAATTTCTGGTAAAGTTAAAATAGCATTTAGTCTAAACAAAAACATGCTCTCAGTTTAAATGAATGTTTCTCCTCCGTTTCAGATCTTACCTGTGGAGAAGCCGCCTCTCCAGGCTCCTCTGCTTTGTTTTCCTCTCTCTGTGTCCAAACCAGGTCGCCTTCTCTGACACCAAGGCCCATAGTGGAGAGCCTGTATGCCGCTGCTTCGTTCCACACCCTGATGACCATAAAGACATAATTGCAGGAAGGATTCACCTATTTGGAACTTTTACTGGATATATCTAACTTATAAGATTATAAATAACACATTGTGATTTATCAGAATACCATCAGATGTAGAAAAAACGGAGGAAAACCTGACTTTCTTTCACAAGTGTATGTAGTGGTTTAGCTGACCTGCTGCAATAGGCATGAGGGTAGAAAATCCTCATGCTGTGGGGCAGACTTAGCCACGCTTGGACGCAACCATCCGGGCCGTTACCGTAGCGATTCAGAGCGCGGAGCATCAGCCGCTCCCTGGGCTTGGACAGGGGCATCAGCGCCAAAGACTCCTTTGCATTATCTGTTGCAAAATGAGCAAAAAATTGAGAAAAAATTTTTCAGCTTTTCATAAAATATTCAGCTAACACAAATTATGCTGTCAATTCAGCTGTCATAAAAATATATATATCAATCATGTAACATTTTTCTTCTGCTTCAGATTTATTATCACTTTGTCAAAAATATGTTGTCGTAATCTGAAGAAGTGAACAATATGAAACACATTAGTGTTAGAGGCTTTTGGGAGGCACCTTGTACACAGGTGAAAAAATATATATATTTTTTTAGGTATTATTACCTACTGTATTAATGAGAGAGGACTGAAAATTAAACAAATAAAAACTCTCTGGTCCAAAGGAATTACGAATTACTACAGCAGCTTTTACTCTAATCCCTGTCAGAGGTATTTAAAATCAAAACTTTTACTTGTTTGGAGGAAATGTCTCTTTGCAACGCTCTGAGGTTCCTCATTTTCCTCGTGAGAAAAGAACAGCCGTACGGCGCTGACCTGGAAAACCAAAAATAGAGATGGCAAATGTCTTAAAATCCTATGCCAGGAGCCCTTTACAATAATTGAATTTAAATCGAAGTCATGTTTAACATTTGTGTCTCTTTGTGTTTTTGATCTGGGATTTTATATATATGTGTATATATGTGTGGTGTTCTCGTTTTGGGGGGGTGTGGTTTCCCCCTTTTTTTTTTTAAATCTTAAAAAAGAAAGATATAAATATAAAATAAATATATAAATTGAAGCATCTGATGCAGGACCTGCAGATTCCACAACGGTTTCTTCCCCACTGCCATTAGACTGCTGAATGTTTTCTAAAATGGGTTATTGTATTTTATTATTATATTTTATCTTTATATATATATTTAAAAAATGCTAGAACTATAAATTTACAGTCATTTTTACTATTTTTCAAGATGAAATTGTCCAGTGAGCTGTTTCCAAATGAAATTTCTTTTTTATTTTACACTTTAGACAAAATCTGTCTAAAGTCAATAAGAAAGAAGGGTCAATGTCCAAACTTGATGATGGTTCTGGATGGTTTATTTTCCTATTTCAGCCAACAATTACCGAGTTCAAACTTTGCTTTTGTCCTTTCTGCTGCCTCTCTTGCTCTGGTAAAAACCATAGGCCAAAAATGCCTGTTGGTCCTTTCCAGGCTCCTACACTTATAGCAAGCAGACTGATCCACATCACTTCCTGTCTTACCTCAGAACAAAAAATAAATAAATAAATAAAATAATAAGACAAAGATAAACAGAATCAACAATTATTAACCTGTAAATAAACTCTGTAAATAATACAAAAATATTAATTTAGGAAAAAATTAACACAATTCAAATGGATAAAGATATAAAGGATAAATAGCTCCAACACACACACATATATATATATATATATATATATATATATATATATGTATCTAAAAACATGTGGGTTACTCTTCTTTAAGTCAATTTAAGTGCAATTAGAGGGTAAAGGGGTATAAACCACTTTTCAAACAATTCACATTAATTGATGTCACTTCTCTGGCTGTATATACCGACAGCTTTATTTGGTGCAGGTTTTTTTAAAGTATTTATATTCAGGTGAATTTATTTTGTTTAGAAATTGGTGTTTGGTTTGCTTGTTGTTAACTAGTCTTTTTGTGTATTTGGCTGATTAATTTATTGTTGTTTTTCAGATTGTCTGGCTGAAATAAATTCCTATTAATTCATTCGAAAGGATCATATAAAAAAAGGAATAAAATATTATTCATAAAACGTATTTATGTAATAAGGTTTATAAAATAAACAAATGGAAAGTTAAAAGGTCAATAAAAAAATAAAAAATAAAATCTAAAAAGAAACTTTCAATAAATAACTGTAGATGGTGATTATAAAAATTGCAACTAAAGACCAACAAACATAGATTATACAAAGACAAGGCTGTGGATTTCTTACCATGTCCTCTTTGAGCAGAGCCAATCCTACTTGATCAGACAGAACACTCTGTCCACTTCCAAACCTCTGCGGCCCGTAGTAGTTGACAAAACCTCTCCTCTAAAAAGACACACAATGATGCTAAATGGTAGCTTCTGCAGTGACAAGAAGCAAGCTACTCTACTCTATATTAAAAAGTGTTTCTAGTGCCATAAAATGTATTTTGTTTGAACACAGCCTCAAACGAGGGTAGAAAATACCTAAATAAAAAAAGACAGCTAATTATAGGATAAATGCAGCATATTTCTACCTATACTAATACATGGAATCTAGCTCATTTATAACTGCTTAACACAATGGTTTTAGTGCAGTAAATACAAAACTAAATACACTAGAAAACAAACATGTTGAAATAGAGACAAGATTGAACTCAAAGGACCTTTACGTTCTCCACTGCTTCCTTTATGAGAGCTGCCAGCCGAGCGTGAACATCAGCGTCGGCCAAATGTCCGTCTAAAGCTCCGTGTGGTCTAAGGTTGCGGACCACAAGGTCAAAGTGATTCCCCCGCAGTCGCCCCAGCTTTAGAGGCTCGCCGACGGAGCGGATCTGAGACAGACGCATCCCTCTCTTCTCAAATTCTCCTGCTTTCTCTTTCAACCTGACAAAAAAAAAGATGTAAACAAACATTACATGAGAAGCAAACAGCCTTAATCCATAAATTGACCAGATTTATAAAGAAGAGGGTGGATTACCGCTGAGACGAGACCTTTTTGACCACCATAGACTGGTAGGTGATGGCTCTCTTATCTTTGATGCCAGCGTAAGTAAAATCTGACGGCAGGACCCCGAGAGCAGCTGCCATGTAGCTGATGGCTTCCAAAGTCTCCAGATTCTCTTTGCACAGCGTGAATGCTGGGAAACACAAACAAATCACATGAGTAGGACATTTCAACTGAATAAATCAAATACAAAAAAACAAAAAAAAAATTTGGTTTGCACATATCAGTAAGTAGAAAGTTCAGTTAATCTTGACAGCTGTTTATTTGAGCATTGACGTCTTCCTTCTGTTTTAAGCTGACAGGGATGTTCCAGCATTTCCCGAAAAGACGTTTCTTTATTTTTGGATAGAATTTGTATTCTTCAGAAGGTGACATTCTGGTTAGGTGATTAATATTAGGGCTGAAACAATTAATCTGATTGATCGATTTATTGAAATAATCATCAATAAATCGTTAAATGAGTTATGGAGACTGTAAAACATGCCTTTACCTAAAAGAGCCACTTATAGCAGTAATCATATCAAAATTGTAAAAGAAAAATATGTAAACATTTTGCATTTAAAATTAAAAAGGTTTTTGTCTGTCAATATGTTCAATTCAGAACCCCTCATGTGGAAACTTTTTTTAGTTTCATCTGGTGTAAATTAGTAAAATCTCTTCTTTAATGACCCTTTGGTTATCGGATTATTAATCGATTTATCAACAGAATAATCAATTTGCAAAAATAATCGTTAGTTGCAGCCCTAAATATTATTACAAGGTTGGATGCTCTAAAATGGAAAGGATCTGCCCCTTATGTTCAAACATGCTTTCTGATGGTTCTCAGGCACAGCAGTAGAGCAGAGGAACCAGCTGAAGAGGCTACTAACCCTTTATACAGCCTTCTAAGGTTTGATGGTTTGGATGCAAACCACTTCTCTCTTCCACTTTCCTCATATTACTATAAAATACCACTATTGCTACAAAATATTGAAAACCGAAAGTTTAAAAGGGTAAAAAAAAAAAGGATAAATCTAAACCCTGTGGTTTCCTAACAATAAAGTTTACATCTGAGTAATAACTGATTAAAAATGACAGGCAGGTTAAAGTTAAAGCCTAAAAGAAAGTATGAGTCATCATTTCTACTTTTGTAAATGATGTCTTCAAAATTACTAAAGCAAAACTTGAAGTTTAGACACTTAAAAATACATCCTTAAAAATGTAACCAAATTCTGCCTTCAATTAAATCCTCCTCAGTTTCTGATCTTACCTGTAGAGAAACAGCCTCTCCAGGCTCCTCTGCTTTGTTTTCCTCTCTCTGTATCCATGCCACGCCCCTAATCCCTACGTTTGATTGACAGTAAAAGACTGCTGCACCCTAAATGCACCATGGAGTGTTATCACAGATCCTTCCTCCCAGCATTTGTAAGACTTTATAACCATCACTGTTCCTAACAACCCGAATAAGTTTTTACATTCATTCTCATTTTGGAGTTTCTACCTTATTCAGTTAAATAACATGCTGCTGTCATTTTGCATATCTCTGATGTTGCTGCCATTTTTAAATATCCATTACCTTAAACATATCCATAGCTGTCAGAGTGCACAGTATTTATATTGTTAAAACACTTTACAGTACAGTATTTCACCTGTTTTTTTTTTAACTCTTCACTATTATGTTATTCTTATACACTTTTCTAAGGTCACAATTTTTTTTTTCTATAATCTTTCTGCTGCTGTAAACACCAGAATTTCCCCATTTTTGGACAATAAAGGGATTTTCTATTCTATTTCCTGTTAAAAATGAGGGTATAAAGCCAACCTGTATAAATGTCTTCTTCTCTGCGTTCTTCTGCTGTTCTCTTCTTGGGCTTGCCATGCTCTCTCAGCCTAACTGAGATGGACGTTCTCCCCTGGCTGCTGAAGCTCTTTGTCTCCACCAGCTTCCCAAACCTTCTATTTAGAAAGTGGTGAACCGCAGTCCTGTGCTCCTTGCTGTCATCCGGTCCAAAAGTGTAAGACGACCCTCTCACCTTGGCGTCAATGAACCTGAAGAAGTCCTCAGCCTCCTCCTCTCTGACCAGTCTGGCCAGCTCCCTGTAGTCAGGGTCTTCCCTCACCCTGATCTCTGGCTGGATGGTGACAGTCAAGAGGAAGGGAAAGCGGTGGCGGACGGCCCGGTGGACGTTGGCTCTCTGGTGCTTGTCAGAGAAGGAGCCCAGAGAGAGTTCTGGACCAGATGGCCTTTTTTCTCGTAGGGTCATCACAAACTGCTCCAGATCTTCACTCACAGAAGGACCTAAAATAACATCTAAATCAAAGCTTCCTAAAGAGGGCAGAGGGGTGTCTGAACCTGCCCCCCAGTCTGATGAAACTTCAGCATCATTTGAGCCTGAACAGTAAAGGTTCTCCTTTGACTCTGCTTTCATTTGGTTTTGCTGTGAGGAGGCGCCTCCTGCTGTCTGCATGATCTGAGCTGTTTTTACCCTCTGTCCATTAATGTCGATCTCTGTGACAACAAAGTCCTCCATGAAGGTTTTGATGCTTCCAACAAAGCCTTCATGTTTTGATATGAAGTATGCAGGTACCCTTACAGCCTCATCGCCCTTCATAGTCACCTTAAAAAAAAAAAAAAAGATTTACCCAACAGAAGTGTTATAATAATAATCTAATTACAATATATAATCCCAAAACATAATATAAATGAAAAGTTTATTATTTTATTCTGCTCAACAGATTATAATTTAATGACTTTATAAAGAAAGCTTTATTGATTCACACCATCAACTGCTGTATATTTAACATCTATAAATTTCTTAACAAAGAAATCTGACCTACCTTTACAGGTGACTCGAACATTCCCCGAAAAATGCGTTTACTGCTTATCTGATCATTTCCAAATGAAACCATAAATGGATCGTAACCTTATTAGAATTATTTCATTATTTGTTTACGGTACAACGCCGCACACACCGTGTAAACCAGCAGCTTGTAAACACGGCCACGCCGAAAGACAATCTACGTCTACTTCCGTGTCATGTGACTGTCACGTGACGTTTCTTAAAGAGAGAGTATTTCTTTAAAAATAAAATAATAATGATTGCCATTTAAAATTTTATTTCAATATAATATGAGAAAAAAGTCAGAATTTTGACTTTAATCTCAGAATTCTGAGAAGAAAGTCAGAATTCTTAGAAAAAAAGTCAGAATTTTGACTTTAATCTCAGAATTCTGACTTTTTTTCTCAAATTCTGACTTTAATCTCAGAATTCTGACTTTTTTTCTCAAAATTTTGACTTCAATCTCAGAATTCTGACTTTTTTGACTTTTTGACAAATTCAGATTTGCAGACGACACTACTGTGGTGGGCCTCATCAGAGACGACGGCGACCAGGAATACAGAGAGGAGGTGGAGCAGATGGTGGGATGGTGCAGAGATAACAGCTGGATCCTGAACGTGGAGAAGACAATGGAGATCATCGTCGACTAACCATGTTCCACTGGTCATAAACAGCTCCGCTGTAAAGGTGGTCAGCAGCACCAAATTCCTGGGTGTGCACATCGCAGACACCTCACCTGGACTATGAACACCTCCTCAGGTCAAAAGGTCACAACAGCTCTTGTACTTCCTTTGGAGGATGAGGAGAGCCCACCTGCCCCCACCCATCCTCACCACCTTCTACTGAAGCACCATAGAGAGCGTTTTGACCAGCTGTCTCACTGTATGGTGTGGAGGCTGCAGCGCCTCAGACTGGAATAACATGACAAGATTGGTGAGAACAGCAGAGAGGATCATAGGGGCACCTCTTCCCTCCTTTAAGAATATTTCACCCCAGTGCTGCTTGTCCGGAGCCTCTAACATCATCAGTGACCCCTCACACCCCATCATGGACTGTTCTCCCTGTTGTCCTTTGGGAAGAGGCTTTAAAGCATCCAATGCAGGTTCAGCAGATTCTAAACAGCTTTTCCCCTGCTGCCATAAGACTGTTGAACTGTTGGAAACTCTAATAGGTTTCAAATCGAGCCTCTGCATCACACTTATAACATCATACTTGCACTACATGGTGGATCTGTATATGTTTCTACAGCATTTTTGCACCATATATATTTATTTATTTCTCCACTGCTCTTAACCTTTGACAAACTGTATAAACAAGCTGTAATGCACTCTGTGTACACTAAAGCACAATTTTTTTGGTAGATGCATCCCTTTCACAGATGTGCTTATAAACAGACTTTAGTGCGTCAGTCATTTCAAAACAGTGTCGGTATCGGTCATATGACTTTCTTGAAACAGTTCTCCTTCTAACACGAGTTTTACTCTATTAGCTCGAAACATGCTGACGATTAATCAGTGTTCCTTGAACCATCACTACAGCAAACTAAATTGGCTAACTTTGTATTGTTCACACATTAGTAGATTTTTAGTTAAAATAATATATTCAATATTAAAGTGGAAAACAAAACATAATATTTGAATTCAAGGAACTGAAGAATAATGGGAGACAAGCACAAAAAAAGGCAAGAAGGAGACAGATGTCTCAATCTACTCTACAAAGCTTAGGAAAGAGTAATTGTGAAGTATAAAAAGTCTGCTTAGAAAGCAGCAGCAACATACTGTAAGTCAAGCAGAGCTCAGCTCTTCAAACACCCAAATCTTTATTCCTTTTTATACGCAGGAGTTGTTCCAGATTTTTTCCAACTGCAGAATGTATCCTGAACCAGAACAGACTTTGTTGGACTGAAATCCTGTTGGCAGTTGGAGAAAAATTAAATCATTTTCATCTTTCAAATGAAATGAGAATGTGACAGTCCATTCTGATGGACGGAGCTATCATAGATGAACACCATCAAAATGCTTACACTCTTATGGATAGACATTGTCAGAGCAATAATAAAGCAGGCCTAGTAACTTAGTTTCACATCCTATTCAGAGAGGACAGAAGTATCCACATCCTTTGCAGGAACAAATGTTTGCAACCACAACTACTTCTACTTTATTTGTCTTTAATATACTTTTAAACAACCACAGATGGAACCAATAACTGTACATATAAAAATCCGAAAAAATGTAAAACATTGAACAAGGAAATAATATAAAATCAATGAAATAAAAAGGGCAGCTTTAAATTTGCCAAAAGCAAAGGATAAAAAAAAGTGAATATGTGACTTCCTCTAAACTTTTCGTCTGAATTTGAGATTTCTGGGTGTCTCCAATTTTTGTTTTTCTCTAGAAGGCATCACACAGAAACTGAGACGGGAAGCCCCATTTACTAATTCTGCTTAGGTAATCAGTCTATAAGGAGAAGTGAAAGACTGTTGCAGTAGTTTTTTTTCTTAAAAGAACACCCACATTCTCCTTTTTAAGGGGATGATTACCTGAACACATCTGTTCCTCTCCATTTGTTTCTTCAAGAGCAAACTGTCAAAACGCTTGGTCTGTGTTCCCTGTTTGCTTAGCCCAAGTAGAGGAAATGGGGAAAGTTAATATCCATTTGAAAAGGAGCTTCCTTTGTTCAGTTGGTGTGATTGCGGTAAGTGTTTACCTTTAAATTTAAGAATTGCCTGATAAATAATACCAATATCAGATTTAATGACTTATTATAACTGATTCGGTTCTTGTTGAATTGATGAACTATTGCGTTAATTTTCCTTCTGATTATTTTGGCTGTTTTACAGGCTCTCAATTTGCTGACGTTGGGATGCGCTATTTATGCTCATGCGAACATACATTATGATGAAAAGGTAACACCTATGTGTGTGCTGTTATAAAAAAGATACAGTAAGTTGTTACCTCCAAAGAAAGCTGGAAAGGTTATAGTTTTAGATTATTTATATGCCTTAACAGGGCACCAAAATCTTAAAATGTTAATTATTTTTACATGAACTCAAAATTCAATTAATGGTCTCTTTACTGCTGTTAACACAAATGCAATAGTAAAGATAAAATGTTAGATTAAAGGGTTTAAAATAAACCTCCTCCACTTATTTATTTAAATACTCTACTCAAAAAAAGAAAGGATCACTTTGTAATCAGAGTATAGCATCAAGTTAATTAAACTTCTGGGATTTTGATTTGGTCAGGTAAATAGCAGAGGGGGTTGTTAATCAGTTTCAGCTGCTTTGGTGTTAATGAAATTAACAACAGATGCACTAGAGGTGCAAAAACGAGATGACCATCCAAACAGGAATGGTTTTACAGGTGGAGGCCACTGAGATTTTTCCCCTCCTCATCTTTTTTGACTCTTTTTTTACCAGTTTTGCATTTGGCTAGGGTCACTGTCACTACTGTTAGCATGAGGCGCTACCTGGACACTACAGAGGTTGCACAGGCAGTACAACTCCTCCAGGATGGCACATCAATACGTGCCATTGCCAGAAGGTTTGCTGTGTCTCCCAGCACAATCTCAAGAGCATGGAGGAGATTCTAGGGGAGAGGCAGTTACTCCAGGAGAGCTGGACAGGGCCGTAGAAGGTCTACAACCCATCAGCAGGACCGGTATCTGCTCCTTTGTGCAAGGAGGAGCAGGAGGAGCACTGCCAGAACCCTACAAAATGACCTCCAGCAGGACACTGACGTGAATGTCTCTGACCACACAATCAGAAACAGACTTCATGAGATGGGCCTGAGGTCCTCTAGTGGGCCCTGTGCTCACTGCTCGGCACTGTGGAGCTCGATTGGCATTTGCCACAGAACACCGGAATTGGCATGTCCGCCACAGCCGCTCTGTGCTTTTCACAGATGAGAGCAGGTTCACCCTCAGCACATGTGACAGACATGAAAGGGTCTGGAGAAGCCATGGAGTATGTTATGCTGCCTGTAACATCATTCAGCATGAGCGGTTTGGTAGTCTGTGAGTGATGGTCTGGCGAGGAATATCCACGGAGGGACGCACAGACCTATACAGGCTAGA